GAAAAGAGCTGCAGTATAAACAAGCTCTGTTCTTGGTGTGTTCAAATGATTGGTGCCTCTAGACCATGATAAGATAAAAGGCTTGAATCCAAAGAAAATGAATATCACTAGGTCTGCTGTTACATTCAGCAGAATTCTTCACTGCATGGCTTTCTTGATGAAGAGAGCAATCGATGATTTATATTGAGGCACAAGTCTCTTAAAAGTTACAGAGTCTGCAGATTGGATCTTGCATGCAGCACTGCTAGAGTTTGGTGACTGTTTAAACTTATATAGAAAACAGCAGGGCATTCAGTTTGAAGTGACTTGTTGGGCTGGAGATATGATGTAGCTCAGTGGTAGGGGGCTCTCCTAGCATGTTCCAGGACCTAGTTTCTAACCTTATGGTTGCAAACTAAAAGAAACAACAAATAGGCATAAAAAAGTAGATAATCTGTTGAATCATGCTGGGCTGGATCTGGGAAAGAGATATGAAAATGATTAAGACAAGTTGTGCATTCTTCTCTTAAGTCTCTACTGAAGTAGTTGTTGAAATTATCCTTACCAACTGATATAAATACCTACATCATGAGGCTGGCAATATTTAGGAAAATTACAATAAAACTTCTCAGTCCTCTTGTAGGGTGAGGCAGCCTTGTTCTAGAATGTTCCATGATCCCTTATCCTGAGATCTAAGTGAAGTGGACCTGTGAGACAGTTCATAATCTACCATTGCTTGTCCATTTTTCCTTTATCTAGAAGAATCATTATCACCACAGTGACCATGCTGATATAGTATGCCCCTGATACCACATCTGCTTTAGCATCAACACTTCTGATAATGACAATGATAAGTGCCTCCATCTTTCTCTTTGCTTCCTGGCTGGTGATGTTAAGTGGTGTGTTCCACCATGAGCTCTTGCCATGGTATGTTGTTCTTGCCAAAGGCCCAAGCAATGCAGTTATCTGATCTTAGACTGGGACCTCCAAACTCATGAGCTAAATGACTCTTTTTTTTGTTTATAATTTAAGTGCCTATATTATTTCATTATAGTAATGGGAAGCTAACGCACTAATCATTGTTCTATGGATTCTCCTGTCCTTATCCTCTCCTCCTCCTCTCTCTCCTTCCCTCTTTCTCATCTTTCTTTCTCCTCCATCTCCCTCTCCCCTCTCTGATTCCTCTGTCATGAAACTCATTTGCAAGTCTTTAGAAATCCAACCACCCTATCACCAACATCCTCAAGTCCAATTAATGAAATGCCAAGAGGATCATGGGAATGACAAAGTCCAGGACCAGAGCCCTCATTCTGTCAAGCCTGGGTAACTGTGACCATCCCTCTCTTCACACTTCCTGGCTGGAATGGATTATTCTTTTTTTTTTTTTTTTTTTTTTTTTTTGCCGGTTGTGGGGGCCTGAACTCTGGGCCTGGGTGCTGTCCCTTGGCTCTTCAGCTCAAGGCTAGCGCTCTACCACTTGAGCCATAGTGCCACTTCCGGCTTTTTCTGCTTATGTGGTGCTGAGGAATCGAACCCAGGGCCTCAGGCATGCAAGGCAAGCGCTCTACCACTGAGCCACCTTCCCAGCCCTGGAATGGATTATTCTTTATACCTGTTCTCCACATTACTCCACTGTGCTTTGTTTTTTTCCCTTCAAATATATAACCTATTATCCTTGGTTTAAAACTTTTCATCCACTTGCCACTGTCCATAAAGCAAAGACCAAGTGTCTTCTCAGGGCACATGTGGTGTCCCATGATTGGGTTTCTCGTCTCATTCCTATCCTGACAAACTCACTACATCCTTTTGGCCTTAGTTTAACTATGATCACTTCTCCAAGGGAAAAGAATTGATAGGCTATCCTTGGTGACACCCAAGTCTGTTCTCTACAAAAATTATCACCCACGTCTCGTGATCACTTCTCACATTTTTAATGATATTCCCAGCTTTGAGCCCAATGTTACACACCCAGAATGCTCAAGATAATTTTCTTAAATAATCAACTCCATTAGAGCTGAAATTAACTCAGAAATCAACACTGATGAGGCAGACAGATGACTAACGAATGAATCATCTTAGACTACAAACTTCTTTTTCTGATTATAAGGACAAAGTTTTTAAGAAGTGTGTGTGTTATCCAAAATGATTTATATAAGGCTCCTGAATAATCTTTGCTGAATCTCTAACCTTCAAAGGGTAAGCCAGCAAACTCTTTCCAACTGTGATGGGAGATGCATAAATAAAAACAAAAACAAAAAAACCCCAAAGTAAACAGAGAACATGAATAAATGGATAGATAGTCTCAGTTTTTGTTTCTTTTTATAATACTAGGGATTGAACTCATGACCTCACTTGAGCCGTACTCTCCAATCCTTTTGCTTTTAGTTTACTTTTCAGATAAGCTCTTGTGCTAGCTTTTGCCTACGTAGGCCTTTAACCACAATCCTCCTATCTATACCTCCAGAGTAGCCAATATTACAGAATAAACTATGACATCTAGTCTGTTGGTCTTAGTTTTATCAAAGTAGTTTTAAATCTCATCTTTCCAGTCCTTGGTTTCTTTCTCTTATGTATAAAATAGATCTTTAAACTAAATGATCTTCAAGGTAACCTGTGGTCCCATGAATCTAAAAGTTCTTTAACATAGAAAATTTATTTTGTGGGGTCTTGGTGTGAGCTCAGTCCCCTGTAGGGCAGAGGTTATCTCCATTGGGAGAGAGGTATAGGGTCACTGAACAAGGAGGTAGTGATTTTAGGTAAAATGGTGTTTGATGTGGTAACTGGCTAGCAGAGAATTGTATTATTAGTAAGAGCTCACCCTAAAGTTTCATAGAAGCTGATGGTTAGTTACTCTTATATCCCTAAGTACATAATAGTATACGCTTTTAGTTCCCTCTAACACCTAAAAGTCAATAGACAAAAAGTGCTTCTTAAACCAGGGTGGTGGTATATGCCTATAATCCCAGCATTCCGGAGGCTAAAACTGGATCATTTAGGCCAGTGTTGGTAGTATAGTGAGTTCTACACTAGCCTTGCCTACAAACCAGACCTTTTCTAAAAGAAGTGCTTGTTTTCATCACACCAATAAAATTAGCTTCATCAGGTGGGTGTCCAGCACTAATTATATAAAAGCTTCTAATCAAAACACATATTCAGCTGCAGAATAATGGATAGTTAACTTCTGTATTGCTGTATCTCATTAAAATTTACAGACGATTTCTTAAGAACTGCCTGATAGAAAAATTGCTGCTTTGTATAAATGCACAGGTGCATGAATATAAAAGAGCTTGTGCTCCTAGACATAATTTTACATTTAAAATTGAATACACTTTGAATTTTTAGATATTGTACATTGCTGGTATTTTGGGAGATATTCATATTTAATTCAATACCACTTGGCAGTGAGAACAGAATTAAATATGTCACAAAAAAAGTAGGAATAAATTTAACCATAGATCAGCAGCTAAAAGCTACCAAGGTGGGGAGTGCAGATGTTTGCAAGTCCCGGGGTTGAAAGGTAGGGATGATTCTAGTCTCCAATGAAATGAATCTGTGAGATGCATGGGAGGATCCTTAGAGAACAGATCTCGGATCTGCTTTTCATGACACCCTGACAGGTTCCTGGGGCATATATTAGAACTTCTCCTTGCCAGAGTAGACCAAGCTGAGGCAGGGCACGGAATGCGATGCCTATGTTCTCCTGTGCACATTCTATGAGTACATGGCCACAGGCAAGGCTCAACAAGCACTACAGGATCTCTAGACTTTGGAGATGGTTTTCAGACTCACACCTCTCATCAGGAATGAGCAAATGTAATCAGAAATAAGCTGTAAGTGCCTTGCACAGCTCCTCCCCGCTTCTCATTCTTAGTAGTTCAATGAACATGTTACTATATTGCAGAAAAACTTCATTCTAAGCGTAGTACCCTGCTCCATTCTTCTGATTCATTTTTTTCCTTTACACTGAATAATGCAGCCAATAGCACAAGTACAATTAGTAATTCAGGTTCACTTGACATGCTTACTGAGTTCCTGCTACATAAAGAATAATAATAATAGTGTGAGTTAAATAAGCTCTGAGAAGTACCAAAGATAAGTCATGTGTTATTCTTGTCAATAAACAGCTTGCATCACAGCCAAGTGTAGTGGTACACATCCGTAATCTCAGCTACTTGGGAGTTGGGGGGTCTGTACACGAAAATTTCCCCTAGTGTACAGGCATACTTAGGTAACCATATATTATACTTAGATTTAGCAGTACATGAGGCAGTCAGAGTCTATATCCCAACTTGAACCCTCTTCCCTGATTAGCATTATATTTGTTTTGGGGTTCTAAACACTAAGCAATCAGCAAAAGCTCTAATTCTTGGCCTGTTGTAGTGGCTTATGCCCATAATCCTAGCTATTTGAAAGGTTAGAAATCTGGAGGATTATCATGAAAGGCCAGTAAGACAAAACATTCTTGAGACTTCATCTCAACCAGCTGGGTGTGCTAGTGTACACCTGTCATCCCAACTACACAGGAAAGCACAAATAGGAGGATCACAGTCCAGGGTCAGGCACAAAGCAAGACCTTATCTCAAAAATAACCAGTACAAAAAGAGCTTGTGGAGTGGCTCACGTGGCACATTCCTAGAAAGTGTAAGACCCCAAGTTCATACCTCATTACTGCCAGAGAATGAAAGAAGCATCCTAAATCTTGTGTACCATTACAGAAAAATGAACCAAAAATAGCAATTATGAAAGGTAAATGAGACACACGGTAAAAGGCTTCTATGAAAGTATCTTTATGACACCAAACCTGTTCAGCATAGGAACATAAGACATATACAAGAAAGAACACAAAGCATCTTGCTTTGGAAGAACCTATTTGTTATAAATAGAAAAGAAAAAGATCTTATTTCCCTATGGAGCAAAGACCTGCCGAGATCGTGAACTGCATTCCCACTACACTGCACAGAGGCAAAGGGAAAGGATAGTCCTGGATTTCCATCTCAGTTGGCACCATACCCTGCGCTTACCTGGATCGAGCCTCAGAGGGCAGCGGGGGGTCACTGATGGAGTGGTTTGGGGAGGCAGATTGCTGAAGGGAGGAGCTGGGCACTTGTTTGGGGGATCTTGGCACTTCGGTGATGGAGGCGCCTCGCCCAGAGAATGAGAAGGATGAGGAATTCTCCACTGTTGGGGGCAGGTCATGGGCCTGGCGGGTGGCACTCAGATCTTGACCTCGTCTTTGGTTTTCCACGTTGAGCAGCACCTCCTTGTCAGAAGTTTCATTCCAGTGGAGGGGGTATTCCTTGGAGTCCACCACGGAGGTCCTGAGCCCCAGGCCCTCAGCCCTAGAGTATGGAGAACTTGACTCTTCATGCTTATCACTTACTCCTCCTCGTTTCTCCACAGCATCAGGGTCCTTCCTGGATTTGGTATAACGTGATGAATATTCAGAGTGAGCCTCGGCATCCAGAGTCAGTCCATATTTCTCTGCCAGTTGCCGTCTCCTTTCTGCTTTGTACCTCGCAATTCTTTCAGCTTTTGACTCAAGACTGTGAGTGTCCATGGAACCTGAACTACAGGTGGGATCACTGTGGATGCCTGTGGTCTCAGTGCAGCACTGAGCTTGAGTGTGCTTCTCTAAAGAAGAACCAGAAGTTTCCTCCTCTTCATTGGACCGGCCTACAAGCAGACCACATGAATAATACATATGGAGATCAAGCATACACACATATCCATAATTTTTGACACTGTTCACCATGAGCAATGGAGTGCCTAGGCTGCCATGGACTGACTGATTTCTCTCCAGTGCTCGTCAATGTTCAACCACCATTAATTTCTTATTTATTTTGTTGTTGTTATTGTTGTTGCTGTTGTTATTATTATTATTATGTCATACTGCAACTTGAACTCATGGTCTAAAAGATGTCCCTTAGCTTTTTGCTCAAGGTTAACATTCTACTACTTGAGCCATATCTCCATTTCTGTCTTTTTGCTGGGTAATTGGACTTTTTTGCCCAGGCTGGCTTTAAACTTTGGTCCTCAGTGCTCAGTCTCCTGAGTAGCTAGGATTATAGGCATAAGCCACTAACACTCAAGTTAAGGTATTTTCTAAATGATCAATTATCTCTACAGGGCTGGGAATGCAGCTCAGTAGTAATGGCTCAATGATTAACATGGAGGGCCTTGTTTCCACTATGGTATTGAAAAATAATAAGAACTTCTATAAAGTCTGTATCCGTTCATACTTATATTTGCAATATGTGTCTCTTCATAATTACAGATTATTTCTTTTTTAAAAAATTGCTTTTGATCATTAAAAAAGGGAAGATGTGTATTTCTCTTTTGTTTATTAATCATTTTCCTTTTCTTTTTCTTAGGCAATGTCTGCTCAAGCTTACTGCTCTTTGCAACACTGATTCATGGTATCATTGTTATTGGTTTGCATAAACTTTAATAGGAACATTTGACCTTTGTCTTCAGAAATATTTTCAAACAAGCTTACAGTTTAATTTTGCTTCTATGTGTAAGCATTTGTAAGATTTTCTTAGAAGTGCATATGTTAACTATTAAGCAGTTAGGTCAGCTGATCTAATTGTCTGGTGATTTGTTGCCCATTGTTACTGTGTTTTGAAAGTCTTTTCTCATCTATTTGAGCTCAGTGTACATATTTTCATATTTACCAACTATTTTCACTGAATTAATAGCTCAAGTAGCTAGAATGCATTTTTTGGATTGGTATGAAGTATAAAAAAGAATGTGTTCCTCCTTTACCCATTGTCTAGCTTATTTCCCAGTATCATTTTATTAAACAATTCTTTCCTATTGGTACTGTAAACCTAGCACTTGGGAGGCTGAGACAAGAGGATTTTGAGTTCCAGGTTAGCGTGGGCTACACAGTGAGAGTTTTTCCACAAAAACAAGTCTCTCTATCTTACTACTATATGATGTAAAAGCATAAACTACATAGCTGAATATTTCATTTCTGGCTATAATTTTTGGTATTCTGACCAGTTCTTATTTCTTCCTGTATATAATTAGAAATAATAGTTTTGGTTTTCTAGCCACAGGAAATTAGAAACTATAAACACATGTAAATGGATAGCATTATGATGTGAAATCAACAGCTATTTCTTAAGGAAGAAACTAGAAAACATTGGCAACAACAACAAAATAGTAGCACAGAGCTTGGAAGCCAGGGATTGGGGACTGGAGCATCAGCTCTGAGTGGGTCCCCTTCTGCTGGGGTCAAGGTCGAACTGGACATCCGGTGTCCATAACAGTGACTCTCAGTGACTGTGGAATCAAGCAAAAGCTAGGTCACATTTGACATGTTATATAATATTACATCTAGCTGGGTGCCAGTGGTTCGAGACTGTAATCCTCAGGAGGCTAAGATCTGAAGATCACAGCTCAAAGCCAGCTCAGGCAGGAAAGTCTGTTACCTCCAATTAACCACCAAAAAGCTGAAAGTGGAGCTGTGGTTGAAGTGGTAGGGTGCTAAAATTGAGCATAAAAGCTTGAGGATAGTAACTAGGCCCTGAGTTCAAGGCCCAGAAGTAACACAAAAAAAAAACAAAGAGAGAGAGACACAGAGACAGACAGACAGAGACAGACAGACAGACAGAGAGAAAGAGAGAGAGGAAGGGAGAAAGAGAAAGAGAAAAACCTATATGCAGTATATCTACATACACCAAAATTAAGTAAACTGCTGAATAAAAGCTTAAGAGGAAGAATTAAAATTGATCAAGGTTCAGCTTTGCCTTTACTCTCCCTGCCAAAGGCCATTACCCCCACTTTGTGAGGCACTGGAACATTTAGTTTTAGATAGTTATCACATTCATTCCAATACTAAAATAACATTTACTAAAAGTTTCTGACAGTAGATCCTACAGTAGGCCCTGAGGGTATAGACAGATAGACACAGACAAACATAATAATTACCTTTAAGAGTCCCAAGTCTAAGGCAGAAATGTCTGGCTTTCAGTTACTCAACAATGTACCCCTAGAAGTCATTTCCTACTGCTGCAATATGGGAGGACCAAGCTTATGTATTGACACTGTTTTTTAACAAAAACGCATAAAAAGGAAAGACAGAGGAGGTAAGATTGATTGGACTATACAGTAAATGTGTGGAAATGTAACAATGAAATCCTCTGCATAATAAATGTATTTTTTGAGGGGGTAGGGGCTGGTACTGAGTTTGAACTCAAGATATGGGCACTGTTCCTCATGTTTTTGCTCAAGGTTGTTGCTCTACCACTTGAGCCACATCTCCACTTCCAGCTTTTTTGGTGGTTCATTGGAGATAAGAGTCTCAGAAACTTCCCTGACTGAGGCTGACTTCAAATTGTGATCCTCAGATCTCAACCTCCCTAGCTAGGATGAGAGATAAGAGCCACCAGCATCCAGCACAACCTATGTAATTTTTAAAAAGTAAATGCGTGCAAGTCAGTGTTGCTGAACATCTCATTTTCCAATACCATTGGGCTGGATTGGAATAGCAGTGGGCACATGCCAAACAGCCTGCCTGAGGAGGGCAGCTCATGCTCACCAATGTGGGGGCTGGCAGGGTCTGTGGCGCGCATGTATCTGGGTGTGTCTTCCTCCAAGAGGCGATGGGTCACCAGCCCTGTGCAACTCTGCAAGAGGATGGGCTGGGCATCGTTTTCAATTCCTTCCAAGCGCCTGGCAATTCTTTCTTTTCTGTGAATATACCAAGAAAGGTACAGTAAATCATCATGGGAAGAATCAGGGCCGAAGGAGAAGAGAATAACGCTCTGCTATTCTTCAGTCCCTTACCTCTTCATTTCTAAAATCTCTTTCCTCTTTGGTTCAAAGATTTTTCTTAAGTCTGCAACTGAAACAAAGCAAAAGACAAAGGGAAGTCCCATGGTTAGGAGTAATGCACTCATCTCATTCATTCATGAAGCCTGTTTATGCAACTTTAACTTCTCTTCTTTGCTTCTATACAATGGTAATGTATATTATGGACCAACTTCCTGATTAATTGAAAGCAAACTCCAAATGAGTATGGGTACACATAGACATACACATGCATCACAGTTAGGACCGACAAGTACAGGTTCAAAAAGTAGGTTTACTTTACCCAGGGAAGTCAAAGGAGGCCTGACTTGTAAGCTCTCTTTAGTAATTTTTTTTAAAACTTTTAGAGTTGTGCCAATACTAGAACTTGGCCTGGGCACTGTCCCTGAGCTTCTTTCATTCTACCACTTGAGCCATAGCTCCATTTTTTTTTTAGTTTATTGGACATAAAAGTCTTGTGGACTTTCCTGCTTGGGCTGGCTCCAAGGTGCGATCCTTAAATTTCAGCCTCCTGAGATAGGATTACAAGCATGAACCACTGGTACTTATTTATTTTTGCTTTGCTTTAAACAGAAACCCCAAGAGCTATCTATTTTGAACTGTTAGGTTTAACAAAGTACTATAAAACTTATTACTTTTTGTTGACTTTTTGGTGGTACTGGGTATGAACTCAGTCTTGTACTTGTTTGGCAGGCACTATACCACTTGAGCCTTTTCTTTTGCCTTATTTTTTCAGATAGGGTCTCATGTTTTTGCCTGGGTCCTGCCTGAGAACAACATCTTCCTAACTCTGATTCCCATGTATCTGGGATTACAGGTATACACCACATGCCCACCTTTACTTTAAGCTTTTATTCTGGAAAACAATCACAAAAGTACAAACTAGTACTATGAAATCCACAGGACCATCTGCAATCTACCTTCATGAACTCATAGCGATTCCTGTTTTATTCTATGATTTAATTAAGCAGGAAATGTTAACTTTTGTTTTCTCCAAATAATTTAGGAGAAACAAACAAACAAACAAAAATACAAACCATTATTCAGATGGTTGGGAGGTTGTCAACAGAGATACGATTGTCTGAAATGTCAAACAATTTTTTCTTTGGAGAAATGAACAAAATTGGAAGAGAATAAAGATCACATTTGCAATCCTCCTTCACTGCATGATCCATAAGGGCTCATCTGAGAGGATTCTATTGAAGACTCAGGAAGGGATGACAGAGGGAGGAGAGGGGCTAGGTAGTCAGATAGCCCAGGGCAGCATCATTTTGAAGGCTGAGTCATAGGAAAAACAAAAAGGAGAGGACATGAATACAAGGAATTTAATGAATTTATTTTTCTTTGCCATGGTGGGAATTGAATCCAGGGCCTTAGCACATACTAGACAAGTGTTCTGTCACTGAGCTACATCTCATCTTCTGTCTGAATCTGGTTTATAACTATTTGAATTTCTTTTTTTGGCTATGAGGTACAACTATTCACTTACACACCCGATGTTTGTAAGTCTCTTGTGTTAGAGGCATGACTGGTTTTTGTTTATTTTTCAGGGCAGCTGTCTTACAACTATAATGGAACTGGCTTTTGTTAAGGTAGTCGACTCACACCTGTAGTCCTATCTACTCAAGAGGCTGAGATCTAAGGATTGTGGTTCAAAACCAGCCTGGCAGGGAAGTCTGTGAGACTCTTATCTCCAATAAACTACTCAGAAAAAGCCAGAAGTGTGGCACTGTGGCTTAAGTGGTAGAGCACTAGCCTTGAGCACAAAGAGGCTCAGAGACAGTTCACAGGTCCTGAGTTCAAGTCCCAGGACTGACCAAAAAAAGTCAATCAGTTAGGCATCAGTGGCTCATGTATATAACCCTCCCTACTCAGGAGACTGAGATCTGAGAATCACAGTTCAAAGCCAGCCCAAGAAAGCAAGTTTGAAGGCAATTAACTAGCAAAAAGCTGGAAGTGGAGGTAAGGCTCAAGTAGAAGAGCACCAACCTTGAGTGAAAAAGCCAAGTGAGGTTCCAGAATTCTCTCTCCCTCTCTCCCCAACCCCCACTCTCTCACTCTCTTTCTCTCTCCAACTCTCTCTCTCTCTCTCTCATACACACACACACACACACACACACACACACACACACACACACACACACACACGCACACACGTTATCCTGTTTCTTCCCCCAGAATCAAAGCAGCTGGAGGAAGAAGTAAGCTAAACCTGCATTGTTAGTCATGTTCCTATTTAGAAGACACACAAGGCTATAATAATGGAGCATCCTGTCTGGATGGTATAAGAGGGGTTGGCTAAGAACAGCTTCCCAGTTAACGAATTAGCTTGTGTTAGATTATGGTAATAAAACTTTAATGGGCAGTAGTACACATTTTGAAAATATTTTCAAGGATGATGTACACTAAAGAGATTTACTTAATTATTTAAAGCCCAAAGCCCAAAAGAGGAGAATGGGTCTATATTTTTCAAAAGATTGCTCTTTAAGTTATTGAAATTTAATTCCAATAGCCCTGAAAGTTATATTTAAACCCAGGCCTCAACCCATAATTGAGATACACACAGTGGTATATTAATACTACCATTATGCTAACCTTTTCTTCATTATATTACACATAATATAACTTTTAGTGGAAAAAGTTAAGATATACCTTTTTTCTTTGTTCTAACAAGAAGACTGTTCAAAATTCATGTCTACTACTTTAATTTTTGATTTTTAAATTTTTCTGTAGAAATGATGGACCTCAAGACATTTTCAATAAAGATTACAACCAGTAAAAAAAAAAGCTAAGAAGGAAGTTGCTTCCAGCCATTATTCATTTCCATATTTCACAAGGAATGATCCACTAATGAAGGAAACTCACAAACATCTCAAGCATGATAAAGCTCTGCTATTCATTCCTATTACTATTACCACTCAGCAGCAACATTCTCTAAGATCCAGGAGAAGATGAGCAGGGATCCACAATGGTTAGAACCACAGGTCATCACCGAAACTCAACCTTAGTCTGGAGAGGGACAGCAAGGGGAGGGACCCAGGCAGGGCATATCCTCCATCCCTTCAAGAATAGAGTGTTGGCCAGGGTAAGCGATTCACTTCTACTTGTGGGAAGGAAAGTCTCCAGAGATTACTGAACACACACACACACACACACACACACACAAACACACACACACACAGATGCTCTTCATCTATCTGGTCTACATACTCAGAAGGTCAGTCCTATAGAAGGACACAGACAGCTACAGGGCACTGGTGCTTGTTTAAGGGGAACTGTTATTAAGTGCAAAATAGTTCTCAGTTCCTGTAACACGAAAATGCCTCTTCCCCATGATTCCAAAACCTCCTAGGGATTATCCTAGATTCAGAGTCGTCAACTCAGGTGTAAAGATTTCTGCCAGACTGCCTGTCCTCCTGGACTTTCATACTCCTGGACAAGACAAACATCACTGAAATCATCTCAAGCACGTGTGGATTTGAGCTCCAAATGATCACTCCTGGAAGCTAATAGTCATCCACCACAGAGTAGGGAGGTGGAAACCATGTCTTACAGTCAGTCCTCTCTGATCATTATACTAAGGAATGAAGTGAGATTAAAAACAACAACAGCAACAACTATAACTTTATTTATTTTTTGATCAGTCAGGTCATGGGGTTTGAACTCAGAGCCTGAGTGCTATCTTTGAGCTTTTTTTGCTCAAGGATAGTGCTCTTCCACTTTGAGCCACAGCACTTCTGGTTTTCTAGTGGTTAAATTAGAGAGTCTCATGGACTTTTCCTGCCTGGGCTGGCTTCCAATCATGATCTCAGATGGCAGCCTCCTGAGTAGCTAGGATGATAGGCATGAGCCACCACTGCCTGGCTTATTATTCTTTTTTGTGTACATGCTTGTACTGGGCCTTGAACTCAGGGCCTTGTGCTCTTGTTTGGCTTTTGTGCTCAAGGCTGGCACTCTACTACTTGAACCACAAGCTCCCCTTCCAGCCTTTTGCTGGTTAACTAAGAGCCAAAATAAATATTTTCTCTCTCTCTTTTTTTCAGGTGGAAATCTACGTTATAAGTTCATTGCTTAATATTTAGGGGTTATGTACAGTTCTATTTCAGTTATCTACTAGCTAATATGTATGTCTAAGTTTTCTGATATATACACATGTATTATAGCACTGGGGATGGAACCTCATGCATATTAGGCAAGTGCTCTATCCCTGAGTCACATCCCAAGCCTGACTGACAATTTTGACAGTTTTCTTTCAAAATTTTAAACAATTTTTAATGTAATCTATCACCAATAGAAAGTTTAAAGACAAATTTGGTGTTCCTTCTCTTCTCTCTCCATGGGTAGTTTTGTAATATTTTTCCAAGCCATTTAAGAGTAAGCTGCAGCCATGATGTTTGTTTATTTCAAGATTTTTTTAGTATTTCCTAACAATTATCAATAAAATTGTTCTCTGAAATTAGATCAAAGAGTCACAATTCAATTGACTGAATGCTATTTCCTAATTACAATTCATGAGTGGTTTAGGTTCAGTGATATTAGTCATTATACAATTCAGATACAAACAAGAATAGATCATCTAATTTCTGTTATAATAAGTAATGTTGTAATGTTCTATTTTGCTTTCAAATATATTAAAATCTTTTTTCTTTCTTTCTTTTTGGTACTAGTACTGGGGCTTGAACTCAGGGCCAACGTGCTCTCCCTTAGCTTTTTTGATCAAGATTGGTACTACCACCTGAGCCCTATTTCCACTTTCAGCTTTTTGTAGGCTAATGGAGATAACAGTCTCTTGGATTTGTCTGCTGGCTGGCTTCAAAGCTCAATTCTCAGATCTCAGCTTCCTGAGTAGGTGGGATTACAGGCATGGGCCATTAGCACTTGGCTACATTAAGATTTTATGCTTTTATATGAGTCATGTGTCATGATATTTCTTGGGAAATGTAGAACCTGTTGGTCAATAGATAGAAATTTCAGATAGGAGTTTATTGGTTCATTTTCAAATAAGGCCACTTGAAAAAAAATTCTTCCTTTTTTCTTTTTCTCCCAGAGTTGAAGACTGAACTTACCAGGCAAGTGCTCCTCTACTGAACTGAATCCCCAGTCCCAAGAAATTCTTTGTAATAAGTTTATGTAACACCATTTTTTTTATTGTGAGAATACCGTACAGAGGGGTTACAATTACATGGGCAAGATAATGAATACATTTCTCATCAAGTATTGTTGTATCCTCCTTTTTTTCCCCTTCCCATCTGTTCTCATCCCCCCCGGCTCTCCAGACACCCCCCTGCCTGCCCCACACTCTCACCAGCCAAAGTTGAAAGTTGCTTTTCTACATAATGACTTGTACATCTCATTGGGGCAATGGGTCCACCTGTATCCCTAGTGAAACGATTTGTTTTTCCTTCCCCTCCACAAATTATACCGACATCAAATACAGTGGAAAGCCGGGGTTATACCGTGGGAGAGGGACATACAAAGCAACAAAGAAATAATCTTATAAATGTGTTAGAAACAATTGCATGAAAGGAAAAAACAACAAAAAATCTGAATACTTATCTTGGGGTTCATTTCCCTAACATCAACTTATCTGACCTTTTCTGCTTGACTCAGACATATACTAGTTATTACAAATAAGGAAAACCATGGGACCTATGTTTCTTTGGGCCTGGCTTACTTCACTTAATATAATTTTTTCCAAGTCTTTTCATTTCCCAACAAATGGGGCAATGTCATTCTTTCTGATGGAGGCATAGAATTCCATTGTGTAACACCAATTTTTGAGGCAATATTTTTCTGCTGGGTAAATTTCTAGGGACATGTTATATCTTCAACTAGCTCTGAGAGGCCTGTGGCAAAGACATTGTTGAATTTGGTTCTCCAAACTTCAGTGCAGTAGGTTCTCCAAGGAAAAAGTAGTCTGTAGTTCTGCCCAAGCATGCCACTTCTCCTCTGTCATTTGACACCCTGAGAGCACAGGCCAGGCCTGTGCTCAGGCCAGAAGTGCTCAGACTCCTCACAGGGGGAACATACTTGAAGTCTCACATTTGGATGGCAGCCACTGATGTAAAGACAAGCAGCTTATAAAACAAGTCATCACAACACTAGAGGACTGGCCAGGCAGGGTGATGGCGGAAGCATATGGATTTCTTTATGAAATAATGAAAATGCTTGAATATTGACTGTAGTGATGAATGTCTAATTCTGGGACTACCAAAGGCCAACGAATTGTATACTTTACATGGATAAATTGCATGGTATGTGTATTACATTTTAACAGAGCTGTTAAAGATCATAAAGTATTTGACCCATTTCTAAATTCCAAAGTGGAAAATCTTATCCTGTTATAACTTTTACACAGGTGAAAGTTTTTCATGCCTTGATTTTGTGCTTGTGGATATACAGTTATAAGAGTCCCCAAGAGAAAAAGGAATGACCATTTTAATATTCCGTTTCATGGGAGCAAGAGACTTTTGTTGAAGAAATGGAAAGAATCTTCTAGAAACTCAAAAACAAATATAAAACTCCAAGGCACTGAAACAATTATATTTAATTCCTTTTCATAAGAGCCAACAGACAAACATACTAATCATAACTGTTAAAAATGCAGAAACAGAGACTGCTGGGACTTCCTGAGTTTTTCCAAATGTCCCTGGCCCAGAGATAAAGCAAAGACTGTAAAATAAGACTTGGGACCTCAGCTGAAATTCAGGGTGAGGAAAAAGAAATGAACATTTGTGAAAATTTTATTTTTGCTACTATGATAAACTTGATAATAAAATGGGTCAACAAATTTGCATCTTTTTAAATCTTATTGTAGATAAGGTTCCAATATGATGTATCTTAAGGAGCCTAGAATTTCATGCTCTTTGTGATTTTTCTGATCATTGTCCATGTATTATTTACAAAAACAAAACAAAAAGAGTGATTGGAAAATGGTCCCTTTAGCCTGAAAGAAAAAAAGTTTTGAGAAATGGGATTGTGCCTAATCTGACAACTCCTCTCAACAAGGCTAAAATCTTCTGTCTGTCTGTCTGTCTGTCTGTCTATCTGACTAGGGATTGAACTCAGGGCCTCCAGTGTTCTACCATGTGAGTTACACCAAGTCTTTTTTTTTCCTTTCCTTTGTTTTTCATATACAATCTTGTAATTTTGTAAGTCCTCCCAAGTAGCTAGGATTACAGGTGTCTGCCACTATGTCTGGCCATATTTATTTTTTATAGTCTGTTCTGGTAATATCCATAGATGTGAAGCTCTTAAGTATAGTTCATAATAAGTTGAGTTTTTTTCATGTTTTTGTCCAGTTAATATAGACTAACAAAATAAGAACGACAAAAACAAGTATTATAGCAAAATAAAAAAAGGGTTTCATTGTCTTTCCTAATTAATCTTAAAATTGTAAGGACCATTTCAGTTCACACATGCATCTGTGTGGTAACTGTCCATAGCATCCTCATCTGACATATAGCCATGTACCTTCTCTTTGAACATTTAACATGGACAGCTTCTGAGATCAGAATGGAATCCACTTCCATTCTGAGGACAGTGGTCCCACTTTAATCTTCCCTTCTACTTTCTGTGGGCAACTGTGGTTTCAAAACAATATGTTTTGTTCGCTCTTGACTCTTTCTAGAGACAGGCTACATCCATATACCATTTATAACAATATGGTGTTATACTACTGCTGCTAATCTCTTCCAGTGCTTAGTTCACATGTGTTTGAAAGGTCACAGTGTGTGCAGGGTTTAGTACTATCCACAATTGCAACAACCACTGTGGCTCTACTGTTCCTCGCCCCCACCCCCCACCCCCAGGTTTGGAGAAACTACTAGAGCTTGCTTTCTCATGTGAAATCCTATCAATTTCTTTCAGTTCTCCACATTGTTCTTAAACAGCCTGTTCAAGTTTCATCCCCCCAGTCCAAATACATGGAGCCTTTCAACCAACTACCCATCAGCCTCAGATGGTGTCTACATGTTCTATCCATTCAGTTCCTCAGGACACATTCCAACTTTTCTGTGTGTCTTTTCAATTGCATTTAGTTTCTATTAAAAGAATATTTCTTCTGATCTAATTTCTTTTGCATCGGATTTATATTTTCCCTTTTGGAATAGAGAGGAAAAATACCCTGCCCTGCCTACCAACCTGATCTTTAAAGGACAGGTTATTATATCCTGTAAAGCCCATTCAGGATGAAGATATTCTGTAAGCTAAAGGACCCTCTTACTAGCTAAATGATCATTCTTATTACTAAATGGTCATTCCTCATGCTAGTGTTGCAACTGTTGGAAAAAAATCAAGTGACATTTTCTCACTTCAGAGGTGAAAGTACAGGGAGCCAATTCTTTGCAGGTACAAATATTTTCCTGCATGTGCACCATTAGATGTAAAACACTTAACACTTGCAAACAACCAGTGGCTAGGGAAGCAGTCTCTAGAGAGAGTGATTGGTAGGGGGTGGGGGGTGCACGGGGGGCTTACTTCCCTTGGAGGAGGCTAAAGGGTAAGAGAGAATACCAGATGCTAACTCCATTCTCTCTCCCTCTTTATCTGGCTTCCAGGGAAAACTCCAGGATACTTAAGGTCCAAGGGAAGGAACAAATAGAAAGATGAGGGAATGAGAAAATAACACAGTGTCTGAAGCTAATTCTTAGAGGAGCCAGGAACACAAAGAAGAGGTCTGAGAAGTGCTCAGTGCAATTCAGTGTCCACATACTCTTAAGCCATTTAAAAAAGCTCTTACCTTTAGGAAGTGCAGCTAAAAACTTGGCATCGAGTTCCCTTTTGTGGTTAGCAAGCTGCTCTTTACTTTCAAGAGTGAACTCGTTCTGAAAGCTAAAAAGCATTCCATTAACAAGATGACAGAGGTCAATTTAAAATGCAGGATAGAAAGTGAAAAACAAACAAAAAACCAGGACATCAAAACCATGCTACTTGCAGATATAGTAAAATATATACATAGAGATCACAAATATAAAGTTTGATTTTGGTGAGTATACTGGAATGCTTTTTGTTTATTTACATTTATGTTAATATTATACTTTTTGGTGCAAATAAATGATGGTATTAGTCTTAGCAGCTATGAAAGGTAAGGGACACTGCTGGACCAGGGTCAAAGTCTCCCTTTGTTCAGATTGACAACTTTGTCTAGACTCTAGGACAGCTGTGTAGGCTTGGGTTAATTATCCAACCTCTGTATAATATACTTTCTTTCTTCTCAGAAAATCAGCAGCTTGTTGAATTGATATATATATATAGTCTTCTGGTGTTACATTAAAGTAACAGATACCTTCAAATAACCAAGAAGTCAAAATGTGAATAAAAGGTATGAAAGAGCTGGCGTGGTGAGACATGTGTGTAATCTCAGCTACTTGAGACATAGGAGATTTGATGTTGGTCCCAGGCAATAGTGAGACACTCTATCTGAAAGACAAACTAGAGTCAAAGGGCTGGAGGTATGGTTCAAGTGGTTTCCTACTAACCATGAAGCCTTGACTTTCAAGGCCCAGTACCATCAGAAAGGAGGGAAAGAGGACAAGTTTGTGCAAGACTTAAAAGGCACATCCTAAGATTGTCCTCGTTACTTCCACCAGACCCAATGATGCATACACAACTCAGCCCTCTTGCTCATGCAAAAAACAATTGTTTTCCAGGAGCTATAATGGTTTAAGAATGTTCATCAAAGCCTACTTTATGCTACATATAGGGCTCTCTACACTGAAGTTAACGGATAGGCACAAAACCCCTGGGGTGAGCCGGTTCCAGTACACCACAGGGATGACTCAGCCTCAGTTTACATATTCCACACGAGGAACAGCTGAAATGGAAATGTCCAAGGTTTCTGGGTATACAGCTCTACGGTGATGTATTATATTCACTGTGGAGCTGGTCTTCTCCATGGCTGGATACGTGTCCCCCAAAAGCCCATATGAAAGAGACACCTAGTGAGATGTCATTAGGTCACTGGTGGTTTGTCCTTGAAGGAGTCTGTGGGACCAGAGTCTCTTCCTTTCAGTTTCTTCTATAGGCTCAAAGAAATGGACTCGCCTGATCTTGAACTTGAACCTCCAGAACTATAAGCCCAAATAAACCTCCCTTGACTTGATGACTAGCCTGTGGCAGCTGTTTCACTGCAGTAATGTGAAGCGGACTGACATACCCATAAACCTATTTCTCCATTTGTACCTCCATGGGGGTGGGCAGTATATTTCTATAGTGGCTAATGAAGAGACTGAGTAGTTGCTATGTGTGGTGTCTAAGAGGGCATAGGAACCATCTATATCACCCATGTAAATTAAGTTTGAAGGGTCTCTGCACATTTTAAAACAGGGTACACCATCTGAAGTTCTGGTTATTGCATATAAATGCAGTAGAGCTTATCTTCATAAATAAATGGCAAGCATACATATGGTCTAGTAAAATATTGAGCATATTAAGCTTTATAAACCACATGCTGGACTGGCTTGAAGATCCCAGGACACCTGCCAAGGCAGAAATCTAGCCTTAGTGCTAGCGTCTACACCATGAATTATAAGTCAGTGATGGTTATTTTCAGATGTACAGTTTAGTACAAACCTACAAAATAAATTCATGTAGATATGCACCCTACTTACAGAATGGCAGTCAGTATTGAAAAAATATTTAATTATGAATTTGAATATTTTACCTCTTGAGTCACAATACCACTTCCAGCTTTTTCTGCTTATGTGGTACTGAGGAATCCAATCAAGGGCCTCATGCATGCAAGGCAAGCACTCTACCACTGAGCCACCTTCCCAGCCCCCTACAGTAATATCTTTTAAAACTCACAGGTTCCCATGCACAAGCCATAACCCCATGGCTGCCTACAATTCCTTTATCTGTGGCCTCTCTCCCCTATTCTTGCACACTACAGATAACTTCAGAGGAAGCAGCTAGGTAGAGAGAAAAAACGAGCAGACTGGTTGGGAACCTGGGCTCTGGCTAAGCCAGTTTGTTGAGGGTTCTGGATGATGCAAGACCCTGAAACCAACACAAGAATCCACCAGGTTTTTAAAAAGCATTACTACTCCTTGGATTTTCTACATAAAAATATGCTAACTGGTAAGGTGGCTCAGTGGTAGAGTGCTTGCCTTGCATGCATGAGGCCCTGGGTTCGATTCCTCAGCATCACGTAAGCAGAAAAAAGCCGGAAGTGGCGCTGTGGCTCAAGTGGTAGGGCACTACCTTTGAGCTGAAGAGCTGAGGGACAGCGCCCAGGCCCAGAGTTTAGGCCCCATGATGGATCCAAAAAAAAATGCACTAACCAATAGTGAGAATACAGGCCAGGCATCTCAGCCAAGAATTCTGGGACATACATCAATTTATCAATGAGTAACACCCCCAACACCACTGCAGTAATGTGAAGCTGACTGATACACCCACTTGTTTTTTTAGCTCATAACTCCAGTCCTTTTTTTTTCCTTTTCTATTTAGTTATTTTTCAAATAGGTCCTTTGTCCTCATGCTTCTACCTGGAATTGGCATCAAACTACAATCTTCCTATCTAAGCCTTCTGAGTACCTGGGATATAGGCATGATGCCAGTCACACCCAGCTTATTTGTTGAGATTGGAAGAAGGGGTCCTCACTTTCTGTCCAGGGTGGCCTCAAATCTTGGTCCTCATGATCTTTCCCTCCTCAGTAGCTGGACTTTTGGCATATACCATCACATCCAGGTAGAATGAGTAACTCCTGTCATATGGCAAATATAACACAATTTCCCCCCAAAAGCCTTTGAGACACCTCCTTCTCCTTGTCTCCTTCTCCTCTTGTCTGAGTCATCAGAGTTGTAGGCACAAAGCCAGGCCCCACTCACAGGACTGACAACAGTGAGCCTTTAGCTCCTATGCTGGGGTCTGCTTTCCTTCCTCTTCTGGGTCAACTCTGTAGACCTGGGCATGCTGTCATACCTCAACCAAAAGTCAAAAGCCTATAGTTCAGTATGAAACCACATCTGCATTTATAACTGAAGTATGGGCTACAGACCTAATTTTGCAATTAGAACTCTATGATGTTCTAGTATGGAGAAAACCTTTTGTATTTTTATCTATCTGCCTTTATCTTCTCTGACATGACACCCATGCTTTCTGACTCATTTTCCACCCCCTTACCTTCCCTCCTTGGCTTCAATCATTTCAGAAGACCTTGCCCTCTGCTTTCAGGATGGATTATTTTTTTAATTGTGTCCTATTAACCTAATTATATGCCTGGAGAGCTGGAGGGGGGTTGTTAAATGGAGAGCAAAATGCTGTGCTGATAATGTCCAAGAGAACATTACATGATAAGGGGGGTGGAGGGGTGGGCAAAGCCCTTTTACCATTTTTTTTAAGCTCTTCTAGTTTGTGTCTGAGGGGCTAGATTTCTTGTGTGGCCTATGAGTTTTATACAGTTAGGACATTTTACTTTTAGTAAAATGGTGTCCTTTGAATAGGTTACAATGAAATAATAGCCACACTCTCTGAATTGCTGTGCCCACAATTTAAGTCTGTCCACCCAACTGTCTGTACATTTCCTGTTTTTCCTGTCCTCAAATAAGAAATGCTTTCTTGTCTCCCTTTCTTTTCCTTCCTTTTTCTTAGTCACTGATGAGTTCTATTAAAATAGCTAAGAAATCAAGAAACCTGCCAGGGTTATATTAAGTTCTTTTAAAACATGTCAGAGATTCAAAACATAAATATGCCAAGCATCATATTTATGATTTTATCAGTCAATTATAAGAAATGCTACTAATGACCTGAGTCATTATCGCTCCCATTTACCATACACACACATGTGTACAAGATACATCAAGGACTTGCCCTAGCTATATTAAGCCAAATCAAAGAGTTATAAGAGCATCTCTTCAGTTTTCAAATGCAGGACTGAGCTCTGCCTGATGAGGACAGAAGTCAGGCAAGTGTTTGTTGTAATGCTTATAGTAGGGTGAGAATGTCACAGTACACTAGGAACAAGAGTATCAGGCTAGGTGAAGTGTAGACAGGGGATTGGACCCTTGAAGCACAGTGAAGCACAAGTTGAGACTCATGCCTGAGGATCTACAGACAGCTTTGTGCCTCTCCTTGAAAATGGTATTAGTGGTTGACAATGAAGCAGCTGAGGGGTAGCTCCTTAAATGGTACACACTGTCATTTTTACATTGTCTACATGGATGATGACAGGGCCTCAGTGACTTAAAACATTAAGTAAATGAAATTGTACCAAATAACTTGTAGTCAAAATACAGGAGTATAGACAGGTGAGGAGAGAAATGACAAGACCAGGCTCAGGCTACAAGAGCTTCATGGGCACGTAGCAGCTGGAAATCTGCACGGAGGGAGGGAGGGAAGGAGGGAAGGAGGGAGGGAGGGAGGGATGCAAGGAAGGAAGGAAGGAGGGACAGACATGAGAGAAAGAGCAAGAAAGAGAGGCAAAGTGAGAGAAACAGAGAGAGGAAACAGAGAAACAGAGAAAAAGAAGGAAGAAGGACAGAGACAGACAGAGAGAACAACAGAGAGAGAGAGAGGGAGAGAGGGACCCCTTTCTAAAAGATCAAAAGCTCCAACTCTTGATTGGGAGATTGCAAGAGGACATCCCAAGTTTAGAGATAAGTGTGAAAAAATTATTGTCTTTCCTAAATTAGCAATTAATTACAAATGACTGAAACATTTTATGCCCCAAATAGTTCCTCCAACACATTAAAGGCAACAGAAAGATTTACTGCCTGAGCATACTGTTAAACCATTTTGCTTCATGCACATGCATGCACGTGCCCATATGCATATATTAGATACATGCTATATATGCATATATAATATATATATAAATATATATGTCTGCTTTTTTTTGCAAGTTCCTTGAACCCAGGACCTTGCACATGCTAGGTATACACTGTATCTCCAAGCTACATCCCAGTTCCTATTTCATATATTCTAATGACTAAGACTCATAAGAATTTAAGAGAACAAGAGAAAGCTAGGGTACAGCTCAGTGTGAGCATGCGTGCCCAGCATTTGTAAGGTCCCAAGTTCAATCCCTAGTACTTCAGGGATTTAAAGAGGAATTTCAGATAATCATTTAAAAACACTACAAATCTCCAAAATTTAAGATTTCTTCAACAAAGGCCATTTTACCTTGGGACTTTCCTTTGATGTGGAAATCCAATGAAGCTTAAATTTTTCTTGTTAAAATCTAAGGGAAAAGAACATAACATTAGAATACTTACACAGGATAAAACATCTACTAAGAAAATATTTTTAAATCTCTCTTTGAATTTACAATTTAAGGAAAAAACATCAACTAGCCAAGAAATCAGAATACAAAAAATGTCAGCTCTGAAATTCATATTTCTTGTAATCAAGTTTTTGACTTATCTCTTTCCTGAAAGTAGCCATCAAATTTCATATGTTAAAAATACTTTGACAGGCTAGGTGTCAGTGGCTCATGCCTGTAATCATTGCTACTGAGAAGGCTGAGATATGAGGACCGTGGTTCAAAGCAAATACAGACAGGAAAGTCCATGAGACTTTTATCTCCAATTAATCACCAAAAAGCTGTAAGTGGAGCTGTGCCTCAAGTGGTAGAGAGTTAGCGTTGAGCAAAATAGCTCAGGAGAAATGCCTAGGACCCGAATTCAATCCCTAGGACTGGTACACGCATAAAAATATTTTCACATAGTTCAGTGTTATAGTTTAAAGTTTTTATGACAATAACAAGCACTCAAAATAAATACCTAAAACCAGAGCTATGTATTGAAGGGGAAAAAAAAGAAAAAGGAAAAAAGCAATTTTGGTCAAGGTCATCAGAAGTACTGAGTCTTTTGCTGGATAGATAGATCTGAGATGCTTTTAAAGAATCAAGAACTAGGGAGAGGCATGAAGAATTAGAGATGTCTCAGTTCTTATCTGCCTTTCATTAAAATCCAAACAATAACAGCACATTACAAATACTTATTTGTTTTTGTGGTTAAGATATCGTATTATTATTTTTAATTTTATTTTATTGTAAAGATGCTGTAGAGAGAGGTTACAGTTACATAAGTAAGGCAATGAGTACATTTCTTGGCAAGCATTGTTACCCCCTCCCTAAAGATAGCTGGTCACAACTCCATTCAGAAACAACCCCCACCCTCCCACTGAAGTGAACTGGTTAATCAAAATCAGGCCCACATTACCAGTCTCACAGATAGTAAATCTGCTTTACAGAATCTGGCATGGTGACCACTTGTGGACCAAGAAAACCTCAGGTACATTTACCCATAGAAACTTTTCCCCTTATTGAAGTACCTTTCACTGTTGAATATTTTCAGGCAGAAGCCTGAGGAATAAGAGGATCGAATGCTGACATGTCTTTATACACATGCAAACATATATATAATCCTGAAATTTGGAAATTCTAGCTAACTAAAAAAGCACCATATAAAAAGAAAGATGTAAAACCATTTAGACATCTAGGCTTTTCTTTCAAATATACGTGCATGTGTTAGCTATTTAAAGAAAGAGAATTCCATCCTAAAAGCTATCAAATATTGGAAAAGAATATTCTGGAATCTGAGGCCTGAATTATTCCAGTAAATTCCTGACTGTATATTTGTGCTAACTTTCAAATATAAAGAGATTAAAAATAACCTGGGTGTCTCATTTCTGTACAAATACCACACTGAGACATGAGACCATTCAGTATATTAAAAGCATATATCTTACATGGTGTAAGAAGAAGGCCCACTGAAAAGATAAATATATTGCTCAAAACTGTCTCTCATGAAGAGTTAATAAGAAGAGACTCAAATACTATGCCTACTAGAAATAATTTGTAACACACAACATTTGGCTTAGGAAAGATTTCTTAATGAAAAGAGCAACATCAGATACAAAATTGGATTCAAAACCTGGACATTCTAATTTAATTTGCAAATTTTCCTACGTAAGCTCTTTAGAGGTTTAGAAACATCTTTTAACTTGCTAATAAAGAAAGAGCACGGACCTTGTCAGCAGCTAGATGATAAGCTCATTTATAAAGTCAGATATTTTCAGCTTTCTTATTTGAGAAAACTGCAGTTATCTACACATAGAAGAATGCTGAATAAAACATAGAATTCCAAGGCAAATACATTACAGAATGAATACATACATGCATTGGATATTTCTCTTGCCTTACCTGGTTTTTCAGAGAACTTCAAAGCTCCCAAATAGCTGGAAACCCCAGGGCTTCTGAACATGGTTATACCTAGCAGCTTTGACTAACAGCCTGCTACAATTAATTCTCAACCAACAATGGCTTTGGTCTAGTCTAAGCAAAATTGGGTTGAGATTTTTCACAGTGCAAGGCTAGAAAAATGAAACACGTGTGTCCTTGAGCTTATGGTAAATACAAAGCAAAAGGCTTCAGGCTAAAATGAATCAAACCCCTTAATCAGATTTCAAGCAGAAAGTAGACCTGGAGATGCTGTACCAGAGTAAGTCCCAGGCATGGAACATTGATGACAGTGTCCCTGCCGAGCCGTGGTTGAATTGCAGTACAGTCTCTGCTGAGGACACGGTATTGTCCCCTAACCACTGCGGGGGAGTAAAAAAAAATAACCACTTCTACCTCACAACAAATAGCTGGGTACCAGAGGCTCGCATCTGTAATTCTAGCTTTTCAGGAGGCTGAGATCTGACGATTGTGGTTTGAAGCCAGCCTGAGAAGAAAACTTATCTCCAATTAACCATCAAAAAGCCATAAGTGGAGCTGTGGCCCAAGTTGTAGAGCACTAGACTTGAGGGAAAAAAGCTAAGGGACAGTGCTGAGGCCCTGAGTTCAAGCCCCAGTGCTGGCACAACAAACGAACTAAACTAAACTAAACTAAAGGGACAGTAAAAGAAAGCAAGTGAGCTCAGTGACAAGAGGACCAGACAGGTCAATGATGGAGCCTTGGGGTTGGGAATCAGGGTCATGATCGTGATTCACCCCGCTTCCACCAGAAGGCAGGGATTCTGCATTTGTATCACTATTTAGTCCATGGCCATATAAAATCAGACTCATCTTATCTGAAGGTTAGCAACTATATTCTACAATGACTGTAGATTTCACATCCTATACTCAAACCAGATTTGACTTAGATCAAGTTCTAAAATGCAAACACACCTAGGATGAAGTAGTAGAGCATTTGCCTATGAAACCTGAGTCCCTGAGTTCAAACCCCAGTACTGACAAAAGGAAATGAAGAACCACATGCCAAATTAATTAAGGTATCCAAAGGCAGGTAAAGTAACACTTGCTTATGATATGGCCAGGGGCAGCACTTGGCATTTTCTCTATTCTTATTTCCTTTTCTAAAACCAGGGAGAAATACAGCAATTTTGGCACTTAAAAAGCACAGCAAGAGGCTCAAGTGATAGAACAGTAGCCTTGAGCAAAAAGAAGCTCAGGCACAGAACCCAGCCCCTGAGTTCAAGCCCCAGAACACTCACACAAAAGCACAGCAAGAAAGAGCATAAGCCTTGTGAATAGCTGTAGAGGAAAACTTACTGAGAAAGCATAGATAATTGTGGATGAAATGGAAAAGCAAGTGTTGGAAAGAGAAGAGAAAGGAGAGGGAATAGTTGAAGCACTAACTCAGCCAATGGGTAAATGAGGTAAAGTAATGCGTGCTGATAAATAATCCTTCATGAGAACTTCAATCTACAAATCATGGCATGTCTTGATCACCATTTATTTCCAAAAAACCACTTTCACATAGGACACTTATATTACCCTAAACAACTTTAAATGTTTCTTTTTTATTTTTAACATTTTATTGTAAAGGTGATGTACAGAAGGGTTACAATTGTATAAGTCAGGTAATGAGTACATTTCCTTTTGAACTGTGTCACCCTCTCCCTCATTCTCTCCCAGTTTTCCCCCTCCTGACTTCTCTCCATGCAAGTTATATAGTTCATTTTCAACATAGTGTCTACTGAGTATCACTGCTGAATTGGTTCACCCTTTCTCCCACCATTTCTGGTGCTTTCCCTTCCCCTCCCCAAATCAGATAAACTTATATACAAGACAGAACAGTAACAGAATACAAAACAGTAACAGAAGGGGAGGAAAAAGGAGGACAGTAAACAGTACAGTAAAAAAAAAAACCTCTGCTTCCACTTTTTGGAGTTCATTTCAGTAAGTATCAGCATGACCATGTTCATTGCAGCACTGTCTACCATGGCCAATATGTGGAGTCAACCCGATACCTGTCAGTGGATGAATGGGTCAAGAACATGTGATACTATATATATGCACAATGGAATTCTGTGCTTCCATCAGAAAGAATGACATTGCCCCATTTGTAAGGAAATGGAAAGACTTGGAAAAAATTTAGTAAAGAGAAGTAAGCCAGACCCAGAGACACATAGGCTGCATGGTTTCCCTCATTTATAATAATGCCTATAAATCTACAAGTAAACCCAATGGATAGTAAAAGATAAATAATTACACCTGGACATGATTAATTAAATAGCAGTCTAAACATTCACACAGTGAGAAGAAAGGAGGATTTTCTTAGGGAGAGGATTGCTAGGGCTCAATAACTATGTGCATATGATCAGGTAAAATGATGCTTATCTAAATGGTTCTTTCAAATTATCATTAAGGAAAAAAAGCTGTTCTAAATTTTCCAACTAAAATCTCATTCTACTATCCAAAGAATCTGGGCATTCTCTTGAAGTTGAAAGTAGAGTATTACTAGAATTTTCTGCCTCATCTGCTAATCATCATTAAAAAAATCTGATTTAAATATGGGTTCTTTCTTCAGGTTGCTAGTGGCTCATGCTTATAATCCGATATAGTCAGGAGGCTAAGAGCTGGAGGATCTCAAGGCTCCAAGCCAGCCATGGCAAAATAGTCCATGAGACTCCATCTCCAATTAGCCAGGAAAAAGCTGGACTGAAGGAATGGCTCAAATGATAGAGTACTAGCCATAAGCAAGAAAGCCAAATAAGTGCAAGGCCCTGAATTTAAACCCCGGTATGAGAAAAACAGCATGAAATTCTTTACGAATTATGGACATAAAATCTATTTTGTAAATATCCCCTCCATAAGAAGCCAACTAAAACGGAAGGAATCTACATTTTACAAAAATTGGAATATCAATTTTATTTCACACTAATTACAAAAAGTGATCACTAGAATGATAACTATTGTGTTAGGCTAGCTCATTCACACAAAGAAACTTC